AGGTTGGTCTAAATAAGACATTAACCAATTTTAATGTGATTCCTCTCCTGTTTATATTACATCTCTCTGGCTTCTTACTTCCTTGGACCCTTTAAAAGCTCATGTCCCCAAGGTTTCATGTTCTCTCTCCCTATAAACAAAAACACCAAAATCACTGCCATCAAGTTGATACTGACTCATAGAGACCCTTGTAAGAAAGAACTGTCCCTGAGGGTTTCTGAGGTTTTATCTCTTTATAAGAGCAGAGAGCCTCATCTTTGGCCTGTGGAATGGCTGGTGGGTTTGAACCACTGATCTTGTGGTTAGCAGCTCAGTGAATAGCCTATTATGCCATCAGAGCTCCTTCTCTCCCTAAGCAATCTCACTTGTTTACCTTAGCATCAAGTGCTATGCAAATCTTATGATGTTCAAATTTCCGTCACTAGCCCAGAACTTGCCCAAGTGCCAAAGCACACAGCTATGTTCCAGAAAACACAGATGCAGTGTGTCCAAACCAGGACTCCATACCTCACACCCCACTGCACCAGCCAAACCTGTCTTCATGTGTTGTGCTCCCTCCTTTCTTGTTGAAATCTCTAACATTCCCCAAGACCACCCTGCGTTCAGGGGTTCACTAAGAAGTTCAGAGCACTAAGCATATAGTTGTACTCTTGGTTAAAACTCCTTATAAAGGATACAAAGCAAAATCAGGAAAGGAAAAAGGTATACACGGGGCAAAGTTCACAGGGAGCCAGATACAAGCTTCCAAGTCATCTCCCAGTGGAATCCCACAAAGAATGCCTAATTACTCAACCAATACCCAAAGTTTTTATTGGGGGCTGGTCATGGAGGGTACCCTTTTGCAGATACCAAAATTCCCTACTTCCTGAAGGAAAATTAAGAGTTCCATGTACACCATTCATTGGAACAGTCTAGGCATGATGAGCCTCTCTTTCTATTTAGGGAAAACTTCCAGAGTAGAGAATTCTATACCAGTTAAGTTCCTAGATGCTCGCTAGGACCATCTATGCAGCCTTTCTAAGGTGAAAAGTCTCAGGCCGACTCTAGTAACTATTTTCTGTACATATCCACAACCAAAACGGAAACCTGGGCATCATCCTTGGCGCTATCCCCCTGGTGTTCACGTCCAATCTTCTCCCCCGCCCCAGCCCATTCGATTTTCTTTCCTCCATACTTCCCCAACCAATTCCCTTCTCCCCACACTCACTGCCACTTCTCTACTTCAGGCTGCCAACATCTCTGCCTAGCTCGCTTTACTGCAACCTCCTTGTTTATCTCCCCGTCTGCGTCTTATCTGCTTCCTACCCATTCTCTCCTGGCATGTACTGATCTTTCCAAAAACAAAGTCTGTGTCCATCTTTCTCCTGCTCAACACCCTAATCACACCTCAATACTTCCAAGATAAAAATCCAAACTCCACAAGACAAGTTTACAAGGCCCTTTGTGACCTGACATCTCTTTAATTCTAGTTCCCTATCCGGCCACTTCTCATTTCCCCCTATATGCTACAACCACACTGAGGAATTTTTAATTTCTCAAATAAGGCAGGATTTTTCTAATCTCTAGTCTTTGGATATGCTGTTCCCATTGCCTGAAACATTCTTTCTATTCCCCCTCTCCCTGTGGAAGCTGCGCTAATCACAAGTTAAATGATCTTCCCAGGGACCACGACAGACATGACCAAAACCAAAATCAAACCTGACCCTAAATTCACTGCCATCGAGTTGATGCTGGCTCATGGAGACCCTACAAGACAGGGTAGAGCTGCCCTATGAGTTTTGGAGAAACCTTGCCTTTCTCTCACAACGCAGCTGGTGATCTCGAACCTTAAGGATGTCAGCCCAACATATAACCATTATACCAGCGCTCCTTCCTATATAGGGTTTCTAAGGCCATAAATGTTACAGACAGAAGCATCTCTCTGTCTGCCTTCTTTTTAGTCAATGCTGACTCATAGCGAACTCTATAGGATAAAGTAGAACCGCCCCTGTGGGTTTCTGAGACTATAAATCTTTAAGAGAGTAAAAAGCTCTTTCTTCGGAGAAGCACCTGCTAGTTTCAAACTGCTGACCTTGAGGATTACAGCCCAATTCTTAACCACTATGCCACCAGGGTTCCTTACAGAAGCAGATAGCCTTATCTTTCCCTGGTGGACAGCTGGCGGGTTTGAACCATCGATCTCGTAGTTAGCTGTCCAGTGCTTAGCCCAGTGCCACCAGGGCTCCTTGTGGACTACCACAGAATCTTATATGTCACTGAAGTTGATGCACAAACAGAAACTGATGACACGGTGTACTGTTTTTTTGTTTTTGGTCTTTTTACTGTTTTATTACAGTGTTGTCGAACTTTCTGCTGTGGTTTGGGAACATTTCCAGAGCAAATCAGTTTCCATTCAATGATTTATCTGAGTTTTGTTTTGTGACACGAGTTGCAATCCCTCAGTGTAACAGCCTTCTTCCCACTTCCTCCTTAGGTTCCCTATCTTCATTAGTTATTCTTTCCTGTTTCAAGGAACGTGCTGCCCTTTTGGTCTCATATGATTGACTGAAATAAGGAGTGTGCTCCTCCCTGATGTTGTCAACACTATTGTTTGGATGAAGGTTGATCCCCAGGGATGGGTTAAGGTTTAGGCTTTAAAAAGCTGTTAAAAGGCCAGCTCTGTAAGACTAGTAAGTCTGGTCATTCTTATGATTTTGAATTTTGTTCTACAGTTTGTTTGTTTTTCTCCTGTTCTATCCAGGACCTTCTATTATTATCCTGAACTGAGCAGTCCTGTGGTCTCAGGGAAGTAAAGCTGTGGTTCATGCGGTCCATTAGTCCTTTGGACTAATTGTTTCCTTGAGTCTGTTTTTTGTTGTTGTTGTTGTTCTCAGATGAAGAGACCAATAGTTGCATATTAAATGGACACTTGCAAGCTTTTAAGACCCCATTCACTATTCAAATTGGTGTATGTTTTACTGCGTATGATTTTCAAAATCAAAATAAAATTTCAATGTTAAACTAAGTATACACACAGTAAATTAGTTATGAAATGGACATGAATATGTGCTGCACTGGCTTGTTAACATAGTCTATTTAAAGGAAGGAAGAGACTCCCAAGAATAAAAGAGGAACCGAAAGGTAGCTGCAGTGTTCACTGTCATATGCTTTACTTCCTTTAGAAACAACCAAAGGAGAAATGGCTACCCCTTGTATATATTCAATCTGCAGTTACATTTGGTGTGCCTGGTTATTGTTGGGGGAGAAAGTAAGTTATCTGTTTAGCTTTCTTTGCTAAGCTATTTAGCATCAAAGTAGCTATATGTAAAGCACACTCAATGACCTCAATGTTTCAGGTTCTTGTTGGGCCTACTTGGGGAAGCAGCATAGTTGGGCTACTGAGAACTTATCTCAGGCCAAGAATCTGGAACAGAGCAGTGAACTGATTGCCCTAACATACCTTCCAGCCTTACGCTTCCACCTATTAAGAATGTGGATTGGTGCACTGGGCTGCTAAGCACAAAGTTGGCAGCTCAAAACCACAAGCCACTCCACAGGAGAAAAGAATGTGGATTTAAGCTATCTCCTTGAAACTTTCACAAGAGACCCAATACCTAATTGTATACAACAGGTTCGTATGGGAAAGCATTCATTGAAGAGGCTGACGGACACAGCCGAGCACGGCAGGAATGCTGAGTTCTGCAGACACTTTAGTGAATGTTATTGGTGGAGTAGGGAAGAAAGCCAAGATTTAACTCAAATAACTGAGCAACTAAAAGAATGTGAAGTGGGTAGAAGTCATGTAAAGCCGGGGAAAAGGCAGCCCAAGGATAGATAACATAGGGCTGGTCATGTCATTGTTAAGTAGCATCAAGTCAGTTCCTCCCGCAGCCACCCTGTGCACAACGAAACACTGCCCAGGCCCGTGCCATCCTCACCACTGTTCCTATGCTGCAGCCTATTGTTGCAGCCACTGTGTCCATCCACGTCCTTGAGGACTTCCTCTTTTCCGCTGCCCTTCCACTTAGCCATAGTGCCAGGAAGTAAGGGTTGGTCCCAGTGTAAGTCAAAAGATTCTAAAGACCAATGGAGAACT